TGCATTTTTAAATTGTGTCCATGTTTCTCTGTTGCTCTTTTTCTTTCTTGTCCCATGAGTTTTTCATATACAGATCTGCATAATTGGGTGATGGGTTGGAGAAGGGGACACAAGAGAAAGGAGGTGACATGGATGACTCCTTGGCTTCTGGCTTAGGCAGCTAGGTGACGGATATTCCATTGAGGTAGAGAAAACACTGAGAAACAACTTGGTTATGTAGATTTTATTCTGTTTTGCTTTGGAGATCTGAATGGAGAAAACAGTGAGTCCTGTTTTAAAGTTTTTGAGATTAAGCTGCCTTTGAAACATCCCAGAGGGGAATTGGGTACATAGGCAATTGGAATAAGTTAAGGCTAGAGAAATATGTGAGTCATCTGCATGTTAGTGGTTATTGAAGCCACACAGGCTTCAATATGGGATGTATTAAGTGGGAAAGGAAAGGAAGAATGCCTGACACCAATCCTTGAGGAACTCTAGCAGTTAACACTGGGGAGAGGAAAATGAGCCCCCTGAGTTTGTGGGGAAGCAGTGACAGATGGCAGAATGGGGTGGAAAAGTGTATCTGAGAAGTCAAGAAAACCGTTTCAGAAAGGAAGGAAATGGTTAGTATTGTTCAGCAGGTGTTGAGAGGTCAAGTATTTTGAAGACTTTAGAAAATACCCTTTGAATTAGGAACATGAAGGTCACTTAAGCTATTATGCTAGATTGTGGGAGAAGTCAGATGAGCGGAGTTTGGACAGTGGAGATAATAGATGACAGAAGAGTGACTTTGGAGAGACTTTTGAAGATGGGTGGGAGGGAAATGTGAGATTATGGGAGTTGTTTTCATAAACACATATATTGTGGGTTTTTTTGGTGCCGGGATCAAACTCCGGACCCTGTGCTTGCTAGGCAGGCGATGGACCCACTGAGCTAAATCCCTGGCCCAAGAGTTGGGTTTTTTTTAGGGGGTGGGTGTTTTTTGAGACAGGGTCTCACTGTATAGTTCAGACTGCTCTGGAACTCTCTGTGTAGCCCAGGCTGGTCTCAAACTTGCAGGATCCTCCTGCCTCAGCCTCTCAAGTGCTGGAATTACAGGCGTGCACCACCACGACTGACCCGAGAGTTGTTTTAATAACAGGTTTAGAAGAGGGTGGAAGGTTAGCTATACAAGGGAGAGAGCAGTAATCAGTAGTGAATAGCATAGTTGAAGAATAGTTGAAGAAACTCATGGGAGCAAGGCCAGACAGCTTCTCACAGTGGATTGGATGAGTATATATTTGGTAGGGTTAAGTTCTGATTTAATGACTTTGCTTGTATATGTGAGATAGGAAGTGTGGGGCAAGTTAGCTGAGAGTGAAAGAAGAGGTAAAAGCTTTGAGGAGACTGGAAAATAAAGACATGCTCCCCTGTGTCAGTTTTTTCACATTTTTTTCTTCCAGATGAACTGTAAAATTTATCACGTTTTCTTTCCTCCTTTTTCCACCCCATCTCCACATCTTTTCTGAGAATTTGGGTTAGATTTTTTTAAAGTTATAGATCGATCACGTTAGGGAGAATGTAGTTATTTATAAAAATATATACCCATTTCAGGAACAGTATTTTTTGTTTACTTGAACTGTTTTATGTTCAGTAATTTACGTTTTTTTGTTGTTTTTGTCTTTAAAAAAATTCCTGTGTTGGTTACTGCTATTGTCAGTTCTTTCAAAGTTTTCTAAAGTACTTATTGTAGGTTTATTTAATAGCTAGCTATTTTTGGACATTTACTTCAGCTCTAAATTCCTGTATTAGTTTCAGTAGATTTTAGTTGATTTCTTGAGATTCTAGGTGCGTAATTTGGAGTTTGAGATGTATTATTAGCAAATAATGATGGTCCTACTACATATGCCATTATTTCTTATTCTGCTGTGTAGAACTTTTTGAACAGTGTTCAGTAACCCAGGTGCTTCTGAATATGTTGGACTCATTCCTTCTGTGAATGAGAATCCTGCCACTGTTATGTATTATGTTGTTATTATTATTATTATGCTATGTATTATTATTATGTTATGATGTTAGGTATTAATAGTAACTTAAGTTTTTGATAGAACTTACTATGTCAGTAATGTGTTTATTTCTTTTTTACTGAATGTCTTTATTAAAATTTGAGTTAAAAATTTATAAACATCCTTTTGACATCTGTTAGGATTATTTGTTTTTTCTTTAACTAATTCATATGACACCTTTAGGTTTTAAAAATCCTTAGGCATGTTTTATTTGTAGTATGCCTTGGAGTTCTCTCCCTGCCCTTTCAAAGAGAGAAGTGAAAATGTTATGTTTTTGTATATGAAGACTATAGCCTCCCCCCAAGGAAGGAAAGGGGGGTGTTCCCAGTGAAACAGGAAAGGGGCCAGAAACTATGGGGGTTGGGGGGCCGAAGTTGCTGATAGTGCTAGAAGGGAAGAGAGAAGCTTGTCCCGGGAAGGTTTCTAAACTACGGAGAACAGAGGTCTATAAGTTCGAAAGCTTTTGAAAAGAAAACATTGAGCTTTTGAAAGAAAATTATTATTTAAAAAAATTATCCTTTGCAAAAGCCCTGAAAATAACTGGTTATTTTTAGATCACTGTTTTAATTCAGCCTGTAGAGATACTCTGAATAGTTCATGTAGAATGTTTTTATATCATTTTGATTGGTTGCCATTGAGAAATACAAATATGTCTTTAAAGAAAATAAATAGAACTACCACAGCATCTGAAGGAGATAAATGAGCTATAACTTCTACCTCAGAGTAATCATTGCATTTAGCATTTATTAAATGGTCAGTATTTGTAGGGAAATTATTTAGATACTTTTGTAAAGCGCACATAATGTAATTATATTTTAATTATGGAGAAAGTATCTTACACACTGGATAAATAATTTTTAAGGCTTTTGAGACCTTGATTACCTTGAGGTAATACAATATTTAATGGAGTTAGTAGTACTTTGAAGGGTTAGCAGGGAATTATAATGGCTACCTGGAAGACACACTATGCCACTGTTAAATTTTGGGCAGTTGTGCTGTTGAACCTCTTTCCTATTATATAAAATTCCATACTGTCCATACAAGTGGTATATTTATTCATCCCTGGCATTCTTTTTTGCCATGTGTTTCTTTTTCTTTCTTTTTCTTTGTTTAGTTACATGTTTGAACAAGAGTGAACATACCTTTTTCACTAAACTTGTTGTTGTAGTTTTTTACTTGATCTCTTAAATATTTATATAAAGCCTTAGGGTAATTGCAAGTTCTGAAGATTCAAGCTGTCAGTACAGAATCTCTCAGTGTTAATTAGCATTTCTCCAGTTTCTATTATATTTGGAGCATTAAGCAAATCTGTGATAATGGTGAATGAGAGGCTCTTCTCTAAGAGAAGCTTATCAGTTCTATATTAGATGAATATGTTTTATGCTCTAAAATTTAGGAACATTTTAAGATTACTTGTTTCTCCTTAATGGGAAATTTAGCATTGAAAGTAAATTCATTTTTTTTGATGCTTCATTTTTCTTCTCTCCAGAAAATATGTAACATGTAAACATGGATAGATTTCTGAACTTTAAAAATATGACCTATAAGATATTTTTTCTTACAGTCAACAGGTAAATACATTTTCAGAAGTATGAAAGATAGAATGGGTGTTGGACTAGGCTAGAAGGTTCAAGCAAGTAATGTGTGTGAAAACAAGAATTATTGAGAATTACACTAGCCTTTATCATTAAGTCCCTTGTTCTGGCATTGCTACCCTTTCCTCTTGGTTTCTGGTGCTTTCTGTGTTCAAGCAGTTACATGATCATAAACAGATTATGTAATCTGTTTGTGCCTGAGCAGTCAGCCCTTCACCTAGAACAGTACCTGTTGTACTTCTCTCTCATATTGTATCTCTCCTAGGCCTTCTGCAAAGTTTAAATGAATGTGACAGTACTGGATATGTAAGAATGCTCTGAAAGCTATATGTAGCTGTGAAATACAAATGGTAGTGGTTATTTTTTCTTTTGCTTCTTTTCAAGTTTCTTGGTCTTCCTCTTTTTTTTTCTTTGGTTTTTTGAGACAGGGTCTCTCTGCATAGTTGAGACTGACCTGGAACTCACTATGTAGTCCAGGCTGGTCTCGAACTCACAGCGATCCTCCTGAGTGCTGGGATTATGGGATTACAGGCGTGTGCCACCACGCCTGGCCTTCTTGGTCTTCCTCTTGATCCCAGCACCCAGTGGAAAATGATCTTTTTTCTTAGACTGTTATCCTGTCTTTCATAAGTCTCCACCCTCTTTTCTTCTTTTTATCCAACTATGTTTCCTTCACTCATCCCTGGCTTGTCAGCTGCTTTCATTTCCTTTGCCTTTACTGCTGTCTCTGAGTATTTCCTCTGATGGCAGTGGATTTTCATTAATCTAGTCTTTTGTCCAACTAACAGCTTCTCTTTGCAAACTTTCTTTACTATTCTATCAGCTTGTTGTGATCATGACCCATATAGTCTCTTCAAGAGCAAGTTGAAGGCATAGAGAAAGGTTAAAAAGTGTAGCTTAGAAAGCCAGTCTTATTTAGAGTTTTTTAAAAATGGCTGCATTTTAAATATATTTATCATCTACTATACAGTGTATGATTTGTGATACTCTGGTCATCTTCATGACCTTGGTTTATGTTTAGCCATTAACAGTATTCTTTCTTGTCAGAACCTTAAATTAATTAACTTAAATTATAGGTAATCATGTAATATAGAAGTATGACAGATCTGGATTTAAATTTTAAGCTTGTCTATTAGAAGCTGTAAAATTAGGGCACATTTATTCCTCTATACATCATTTTTCTCATCTATAAAAATAGATTTGTGACCACCTTAGTAGTTTTATGATCAGGATTAAGTGATCATGAAAATACCCAAGACCAGTGCTTACACACAGCAGTTGTTTTAAGAAGTGTGTTTTCTTTCCTGGTTGCTGTAGAATTGAAATAGATGTACTGTTTACTTACATATGTTGTTTATTTTCTACATCTTTTTTTTTCCAGACCTATTCCATGGCAGTATATCTTGTAAAACAGTTATCCTCAACAGTTCTTCTTCAGAGGTTACGAGCAAAGGGAATAAGGAATCCGGATCATTCTAGAGCTTTAAGTATGTATGATAAACTTACTTCATTTATGCAGCTAATCTAATTTGTTAAAGGGTAGGATAGTTTTTCTCAACGCCAGAAATTTTAGTATTTGTTTATTTATTTATTTTGCTAGAGCCTGTTGTAGAGGATTTAAAACACTGAGAACCTTGTTTTGTGCGCTTGTAAAACAGCCTAAGAGTAGTTTTAATGCCTTTATCGTGAACTGTATTTTTATAATCTCTGGGTTACTCATCTTACAATTAAATTCTATTAAATCACTTTTTCAACACAGAAAAGTATTTTATTACAACTTCATAAAATAACTAAGGAATTTTAGGAGGAGGCCTAGAAATCTTGGTATAAATCTCAAGAAAGTCATTTAAGATTTGAAGATGATTTTAGATACAGGAAAATGTACAGGGCTATATGATGACTGTATTTGTGCATTGTCAATGTAGAAGGAGTCTTTAGAGTAGAGAAATAGTAAGGAAGTAGGGTCTGCCATTAAGCAATTATGTGGCCTTGGAACAGCCCCTCCCCTAAATGTTGTTCCTCACCCATAACTAGGGATTTGTTATGCACAGCTTCAGCAGCATTGTGGAAGTTGTGCTTCACAGGTGGGAGTTATTGGCTGGTTTGTTGTAATGTGTTGAATCTGAAATGTAAGGTCTGCAAAAGAATTCACTGCTGGCCTCAAATTGGAGGTTCAGTGGCCTTTCCCAAGGGTGAACTAAGTTCTTCCTTTTTTCTCTTCTTTGTAGCATAATTTCTTCATGGATGGATTTAAGGTTGAGGGCTCAGGGCTTAAAGAGGAGCAGCATTTTTTATAGGTAGGGTTAGATAGCTGTCCTTCGGGGATCTTGATATGAGTTGAATAATGAAGCCCGCTATCAGGTTTTATAGTGAAGAACATTCTGGTCCCTAACCACAACTATCCAGTGTGGCCAAATTTTCTCTTTTATATCATAGCTTTTATCCTTTTCTCTAACCTGTGACTTCTAACCTCTAACCTGCCAGAGTAAAAGATTACACCGCCCTGAATAACAAAACATCTTTAATTGTTCATTGAAAGATTTTTCTGTATTAGTAGGGTCCTCTTAAAAATGAAAAAAGCGGGCCGGGGATTTGGCTCTGTGGTTCCGTGGCCTGCCTGGCAAGTTCAACAGCCTGAGTTCAATCCCCGGTACCAAAAAAAAAAAAAAAAAAAAAAAAAAAAAGAGAGAAAAGCCAGGTATGGTAGTGCAATACCTATGGCTACAGCAAAGTGTGGTAGGAGACTGAGGCAGGAGGATCAGTTGAGCTCAGAAGTTCTAGGGTTCCCTGTGCACCATAGTGAAACCTGTCTCACGACAAAAACTTTCTAGGTGATTGGCAGATAGAGAACTAGAATGATAGAACTGTTTTGGGACCACGGTTGGGGGCATCCTCTGACAAGACGAGATAGCAGAGACCCTGAGAGCAGAGAGAGAGGGCAGAATAGGAACTTTCTTTTTCACCAGCCTGCTGAAATTATTCCTGGTCCCCAGTGATACCTTCACTCCTGCCTCACAGTATTAAGGAAGTAGAATTTCAGCTAGTTAGAAAGCATCGTGGAATTGTATGACCCTGTGTGGAAAAGGGAATGTCAAGAAATGAGGTACATAAAACCATTGCATTTAACTAGGCAAGCTGACTCCTGAGTGGCCTTTAGACGCTTCTGCCATTTGCAGCTTTAGCACCACCTGGAGGGGAGTGGGAAGGTGAGCCTGGAATTTCATTTTTGCCAAGGAGCAAACCATTGTTTGCTGCTATTAAGCACCAAAACCTGCTGAATTCAGAAGCTGTTTATTTTCTGCTCTGGTATACTGTTAGATGTACACAGTTATTGCCCATAGAATGAGATTTTTATGGCAATTTATAACTTACCTGGTTGGCCAGGGAGTACCAATGAAACATTAATTTGGATCCCACCAGTAAGGAATTTGTTGTAATCAGCTACACATTATTTAGAGCCATACTATCTGTAAAAAAAAAAGTTTTCTGACAAGTTAATTGTGTAATTAAAATATTGTTTAAAATAATGACAAAAGAAAATATTATCACATACCTTAGATATTTTTGAAGAATTAAGTTACTTATAAATAATCTTATAAATAGATTCTACCGGCAGTGTTTCATTAGTTCAGTCAGGCACTGTTAGGTGCTTGAAAAAAAATAGAGTTAATAGTATTTAGACTTCTCACAGAGACACCCATTCTGTGATTCATTTGACTTCGTAGGTGTATTTTTTTTTTTGGTCTTGTGGCTCCACTTTAGTGTAGCAGCCCTTGATTCTTGGTCTGTTCTTCTTTCCTCTCCTTTCTCCCTTCAGCAGTTACTTCAAGCTCCTACCCTGTTCTTCTCAGGTACTGTCCTCCGTCGTGAAGCACACTGTCAGTGTAAGACAAACAGGGCTATAAGAAGAGAATTCTGCCCAGCAGAGGCTGAGGCAGGAGGATCAGTGTGAGTTTAAAGCCAGCCTAGAGTACCTATTCACACCCTGTCCCCCCAAAATGATGATGATGATGATGATGATGATGATGATGATGATGATGATGATGATGATAATAATAATAATAATAATAATTTAAAAAACAAAAAAGAGGGAAAAATTAATTTTCTAGACTGATGGTTTCTTCCTTACTCTTTGGACCACCTTAATTTCTTTTCAGGTTACCTACATTTGTGCCCCTCTTTATTCCCTGTAGTATCTGGAGTACATGTGCCTTTTCCTGCTCAGAGTTAATCTTTTACTCATTTGTTCTTCTCATTCAAGAAATTACTGTAAGACTCTGCTGTATAATTGGAACAGGAGACTATGGCATTAAACAAGATGCACACTCTCCATGTATCTTCCAGAAGTGTGAGTGTGACAGAAAAGACAGTAAATACTTGGATGAGTTGCTAATGAGTTACAGTTGTGACACGTGCCTTGGAGAAGAAAGATGGGACTCTGTACAACAGAGGAACGAAGTCCTCTCTGGTGCCATGATGATCAAGACAAGATTGTAAGGATGGGGAGGAGTAACCCCCAAGATGATAAAGGGATCATTCCAAGATTAAAGGCCCATAGAGCTGGAGGGGGGAGAGCATAGGAATGAAACAGCAAGAGAAATAGACAAGTGTCAGTTCACATAGCTAATCTAAAGCTCCAAAAGGATTTCTTCAGGGTGAGAGGGCACAGTGCTGGGGATCAAACTCAGGACCTCATGCATGGCAGGTACCTGCTTTATAACAGCCAATCCCTAGCCACGTTAAAGGATTTTTAAGCAGATGAATGAAATAGTTGAACGTTTTTTGAAAAGTATTAAAAGGCAGACGTTGTATTGATGGTGTATGGGGAGTGAAGGAAAAGGAGGGCCAAAGGTGAATTCTTGACTTCATTTGCATCAGGTAACATATTAATGCAATTTACTGACATGAAAAGCTTCTAAAAATATTAAGTTGCAGAGGGGAAATCCCAGTGAATTCTTTACACTTGTGTCATTTGAGATGTGACTAGACATCCATGTGGAGATGCTCCGAAATGGTATGAAGAAGCCTGACGTCTTCACTCTGTCCTTTGACCTGTGTTTCCACATTCTGCCTTACTACCGGCTCTTCTTGACACCCCTCCTTGTCAAGTCTCTCTCTCTCTCTTTTTTTTTTTTTTTTTTTTGCTACTGGGGTTGAAACTCAGGACTTTGCACTTACAAGGCAGGCGGTGGCACCACTGAGCTAAATCCCCATCGCTGTCAAGTCTCTTTCATTTTTTAAAAATAGGATAAGAAAGCCGGGCATGCACACCTGTAAGCCCAGCACTTGGAAGGCTGAGGCAGGAGAATTGCTGGAGACCAGCCTGGGCTACATAGTGAGTCCAAAGCCAGCCTGCACTACATAATGATGCCCTATCTCAAAAAAAGCAAAAACAAAATAGGAAAAGAAGCTCCTCTGCAGATAGAGCTCTTTATTCCTTCTATTAATCTCATCCCAGTTTTTTCTCAGAGCCCATGTGCTTTGCATCTCTTCTCTGCAACTCCTTATGATCTTTTATCCCCCACAATTTCATTGAAATTGCTCTTGGAATTGTCACAAGTGATGGTCTGATTGCCATACCCAAAGTTTTATTCTTTTGGTTTTTATCTTGGGTGTTTCTGTTGCTTTTGATATAACCAACCATTTCTCCTTGAAATTTTCTTTTTCTTCTCCTCTGACCATTTCTTCTCAGTCACTTGTCTTCAGTGGGTTTTCTGAAGAGAAGCATCCTAAGCATTGGTATTCTCTGGAGTTCCATCCTTGGCCCACTTTTCTGTGTACTTTCTCTGTAGACAGTCACATTCCTGCTGTTTAAACTAGGAACAACTTTCAAATAACGTATCTTTTTCTCAGGTCTTGACCCTGAATTTCAGATTTTCTGTAAGACTGACTGCCATCACCTATTTCACTGGTTTCTCAAATTCAAGTATTAAAAACTAAACTCACCAAGTCCCATCAAACTGATACTTTAAATATTTCTCAAATCAATTTTCCATCATTATCCTCTTTTAAATCCATGTCCTGCCTTTCTTTTAAAAATGTATTCATAAGTAATATGTCTCTGTCCTTTCTGGACTCTCCATACCTCTCCCCTGATAGCAGCATGACTTAATGTGTACATATCTGCTCTTACCATTCCCTTCTCTTCTTGGCTCTAAGACCACTGGAGTGAAAGAGCCAGCTTTCTTATCATGACGTTCCACTTTCCCTGATGTGGCACCTGCTTATTATTTCCCAGCACCATTTGTTTTCATTCCTCTCATACTTTAATTCCAAAAATACATAATTCTTGTCTTTTCCTCAGTGCTGTAGTATCATTCTCTGTACCCCAAAGCTTCCCAGCTATCTCCTCTGCCTGATGTTAGTTGTCCTTCATGGTTTACTTTTTCCAGAAGGTATCTGAAACCTCCTGAGTAGAGAGGGGTTGATTTTTGGTTAGCTTCGTAAGCAACTTCCATCAGAGCATATTAGAGATGTTCTTGTTGAC